AGTGTCCGGAAAGTCCAGGTTTTTGAAGTGTCTCAGCTCAAGCGACTACGCACTAATAACCTCGCTTGGCTTGTCCAAGATGAAGCATGCTTGACCAGCGAAACGCTGAAGACCAATACTTCTGGAGACCCCAGATCCAGCACCCCCGAACTCCAAGGAAGGTTGCTCTTTCCGACGCAAGACGGACTGAGTCGGTCGGTTCATCCTCCGTAACGGGTCAATGCCAGATTCGCAGGATGCGAGAGATTGAGAGCGCAGTCCCGTCAGTATGCAGCTGGGCTTGAAGTTGGCTGGTTCTACGGATGCCAGCACGGCCTTTGGTATCAATATGTCATGCACAAGTAGCTATAAGATCAAACGTGCATTTTCTCTGCTCTGGACCATACAACATGCAGAGAGCTGCATGCAAACCAGCATGACTTCAAGCGGAGCCTGCTCTTTGCTGCCAGAGGAACGAGGGGTGTGGCAAAACCTGCTTGTACTAGCACCTTTCTCACAGTCACGCGTGCACTGAGAAGCAACTGGGACACCAACATCCGATGCAGATGTGCTGGAGCTTTGAACAACACAATTCAGTCTCGGTTTCACTTAGCGGGGCTTCTGGTTTGGCAAATTTAAAGACCGTTCAAGGTTCTAGTTTGTGCACGCATCTCCTTCTTTGTATGCATGAAAGGCTCCCTCCACACAGAAATACGGAGAAATATATGATATGTATTTATGTTTTTCTTCAATTATGTACTTATATCTTCAGGCCACATTTTCGAACGTGTGCCGCCCCTCGAACATCCGCTGCGTACCTATTCACCCGCTAGAGCCAGGCAGTCTTCCAAGGCCTACATTCGGGTTGAAGCTCGCGGGTTGCATTACCCCCCGTGTCGGTCACTGCTTGTCATTCTCACCGGTGCCTTGCAAAAGCCTCCTAGCAAGCATGCTAACGTCGCAGCTGAAACCTTATAATCTGCCCAGAGCGTATACGAAGGTGGCGATAGTGCAGTCCCTTGCCCTGCAACCAGCATGGAAACACCCGGGGGTATCTTCGGATCTAAAGCCTCACAAGTTGTTCGCACTCAGTCGTCAAACTGTTTTGCTACAACACCAAAGATTCGTCCGATTCTTCTGCACTGCTTTTGCAGCCTTGATACATCCCATCACAAAACTTCTACGCCACGAGCCTTGAGATCGGCAAAATCCTACAAGGCCTTGAAGTTCCTGGAGTTCAGGGGCCTGAGAGGAGCAAGCTTGAACTCCTCCCAAGCAGACATGGGATCGTAGAATAAACCCGTCGCCTTACGGTTCAGTCTTGGCAATCCTTTTAAACTCCCGGAAGCTCGAGACCCAGAAGCTCCGAATCCACGCGCAGGGCTCGGGGATCCAAGAAAAAAACTCTTCAGACTTCTGCATGATGTATGGAGTAGGCAGCCTGCCTGAGCTCAAAACGGCCGTCGAAAGCCCTGCTGCTTTGCAGAACCTTCAGGGTTCTCAGGACCTGATGGAAAGTTCGTGGTTTCAAAGAGATTTGTCCCGACTATATACCGGGCAAATGGGGGGCATGAGCGTGCAGCATCACACGGGATCCCGAACACAACCGGATGTCAAGTAATTAGCGAGTCTTCGAAGCCGCAACAGTCAAGCACTGGGTCCTGATGGTGACAGGATAAAACGCAGCTCGACAGTGGTCCAAAGCACCTTCGAACCGCCAGGGTTTCCGAGATTCAGGTTTGCAAATAGGGGCTCTGGTGCTGAATTTAGCGACCTTTACGGCAAGGATACGGTGGGCAGCACCGACAGTGTTGTTTTCGACAGTTTTCCACAGGCGAACAAATGCTTTGGACAACTACGGCCTCGCAGCGCTGCGCGGACTAGAGCATCGCAATGATATAGGTCATGTATATAGCATTCTGGCTTGGAGACCAATCGGCCCATTCTGAAGTTGGCTGTTCCTGAGACGCTGTACCGACAGATAAGGTTCCGACTGTTGAAGGTTGCTATACAGGGAAGACAAGGGTGCGAGGGCGTGAGGCTTAGGCTTATGGGCCAGAGTGTCGCCCTGGCCTCCAAAGCAATAATCAACAATCGTTGGGTCTGCTGGTGCCCTGTCGCCCAGAATTGTATAGATTAGCAGAAGAGCTGAGGGGCTCTGCAACGGGTCCAAAACATGCGTGAGAGCCCGGGGCTCGCATGGTGAGATTCACGAATTCAGAACACTGCGGCTTGGTTTGGCATATGGGCTTCCTGGTATTCAATCGTTTATGATGAGGCTTATGTACGTTCACAAGGATCTTGAGGTGTCGCTTCCGGGGCTTTGTGCTTTTGGTTTGAGGGGGTTGATTTTCCATCCCGCAACCAGCGGTCCCGCATACTTCGCATCCGCGCAAGAAGCGCTAGTCCATGTGCCAAATACTCCTGACGGCCTGATTTTATGAGTCTCCCACGTGTGCCCGACGCATAGGAATACTGAGAACAAAATCAAAACTAAAATCAACATCATACTTCATAGCCATGATTCTCATCATATAGTGCTGCTGCAGGGGCCAGGTGGTCAGCCCCAATTCTTGGTAGCAGCCGATCGACATGCCGCTTGGCAGAGCACGTTCCGGTCGAGTGTATGCAGTGGCAGACCCGAAAATGAGAACCCCCATAGACGGTTGATATGGCGTCAAGACTCCCTGAAGAAAGAGCCTCTGCTTCTTCAAGACCGCTTCATGGCCTTGGTCGAGTTGACTTCTGTGGGGTTGGGCTCCGAGGCACTCATGTTTCAAGCTGGAGAGGTGAAACTAGTAGGAGGAGCGATGCAGAGCTCGCCGGAAGCTCGGGTTTTGGGTTGTGAAGCGACGAGCATGTATTTGTATACACAACTTCAAGAATGAAGCATGTAGGAAAGCATCTCCGAACTTAGTGGAATTTGGGGCTTCGTTTCTTGAACAAACGATAGATCACGCCTCATGCAATCGCCTCCGCTTGGGAAACCCTGATCCCGGCATAGCGGGAACCACGAGGCAAATCGCGTTGCCGTGCTCATTCCTGGAACACAGACCCCCAGCGACTCCTGGCTGCCTTTCATGGAGTTGTGTTGCTTGCGATGAAGGGCCAAATTCCCAAAACATCCGAAAACCTAACCCGCTGGTGTTCAGGGTCAACGCTTTGTCGGGCTTCAGGCGTTCGGGCGCCCCAGTTGTTGTCAGGATCGTGCTTTCTGCAGCAACAAGGGCATTGAGGGCAAAAGCCTGCACCGCCGACTCCATTTCATGAACGGCAGCACCAACTCCACTCGACAAAGCAGTGAAGCTCAACTCAATACTAAAATCCCGAGTCTACCAAGTTCAAGACAGCTACAGTACAAGTAGCACGAGAGTCAAGCAATTTCCAGCAGTACGTGGAGAGGAAGCCTAGCGCCACTGCTATCCTCCTCCTCCTCCTCCTCCTCCGAATCACCGGTCACATCACCATTGCCGCCCCTGCCACCTGGCCCTCTAAATGTCCCAGGATTGCGTCACCGATCTGAAAGCATTGCCGGTAAAAGTGCGAGCTGATGGAAGGCCGGGGAGCTCAACTCGCAGTTTGAGAAGCAGTGTTGTTTTGATGTTCGGAGTGCGATGTTTTCAGGATGGGGCGCCCTATAAAATGTGCAGACCATGCGTGCATCGGCCATTAACCCCTAATACCCACCCGCAGTAACCTGTTATTTGCTTGGGGCCGATATCCCACCGGCCAGACCCCATATCTTACATCGCCAAGCTTCCATAGTCGGCAGCGACCTGGAAGAGGAAGCTTCCTCACCAAAGGCCTTCTTTCGGTTGCCAGGGACTGAGGGTATTGACACTTCGACCGTCTCTGTTTGCCCAGCTGTTTGCTTTTTCGGATTCTGCCCCAAAAACAGTAAAATCATGTTAATGGCGAAGGCTTTGTTCGACTTTGAGGGCTTGAGATTCTGGGTATCATACTATGTAAAAGATGATACACATACATATGTGTGTATATATATATATATATATGTATTCCGAAAACATGGAAGAGCGACTGCCTTGACCCGGTGTGCAACAGCACCCACACACTTCATGAACCATGGCAGCAGGACCATCGGCTGGGTTCACTGCGGCATGATGCGTCAGGCACCATCGGGACCGGACAGGGAAGGTTTGTGAAAGAGTATTGCTGTCATTCTTCCTTTTCTGGTCATCACTCCCCGAAAGCCCAGAGCCCCAAGCCTTCGCGGGCTCAGACAGCCAGCTTGACGAAGCCAGGCACTTTGAGGCGGCCGGTTTAGAGCTTGATGGTTGAGGGTTCCTGCTTCTACGCTTCCAGGGCCTAGACGACGCTGCTCAGTAACAAGGAGTCAGATGGGTCCGGCATGAAGTCATACTCGTCCAGCCTAAGTTTGTGGCGCACTGTTGCCAATGTAGTAGTTCCTCGAAGTTCCTGACAATTCCAGCATCTCCCTGGCAAGAGAGCGAGAGAGAGAGAGAGAGAGAGAGAGAGAGAGAGAGAGAGTGTGTGTGTGTGTGTGCGTGTGGAAAAGTCTCTCTCTACCCAGAGCAACCAAGATCAATCACCTTCCCCAATAAAGCGCTCGAGCAGACATCTCTTTGTGATGTCAGGCCGATCAGTCCAGTCTAGACATCGTGTTCATTGGGCGCATTCTTGGGACGGTTACATGTAGCCCAGTCTTTCGATCCTGACATTAGGCGGGGATCATTCAAAGAGTTAGCCATCATACACGGCAACATGTGCGAAGCGTTCAGGAAACAGTCGGAACAGCAGACAATCAAAGCTGCTACGGACCATTGGCTCCAGTCGCCACATTTTGGTTCGACTCGGCTGACATGATTGTCATTGCTGAAAACATTGGAAGCAGATTGCACTGTACAGAGCAATCGTGGGCGGTCGGGTTCAGATCCATTCACATTGAATCCGAGAACTTCAGTTCCCACTAAGCGCAGAAAACATCCGTTTCACATTTCAATCCAAACTAAAGCATGCGGCATTCGCTTTATAAGGACTCTTCAATTCAATCGCCGGCTCAGTGCGATCTCATCGGCATTCTTCCGCAGGACAATCTCGGCACCGGGCTCCAGAGCACTCGCAACTTGGGCAATCGCATGCACTGAGGCAGCTCTTCGCTGGAACCGGAGCATTGCAGGCGGCCACGTCGCCATCATCATCAGTCTCATTGGGCCAGTGAGGCACCATGGGCTTGCACCAGTGGCACCAGTGTGCGGCCCATCAGTCGCCACTCGATAAATTTGCAACCATTCATCGTGGAGCTCATTCCCCACTCCCACATCTCGTCGAGGTGTGAACAGTGGCTTCGCATTGCGGATGCACACTGGATCAATCAAAGGCATTCGCACAATAGCTTTTGAAGCAAACGAAGCCGCATTCAGATTCAAGGACAATCTCCATTCGGCAGTGCCTTCTCCAACCCGTTCCTGGGTCGAAATGTGATCCGCGCATCGGCGGCTAAAGTAATTGCTCCACGCGCTGATTCCCGGAACCACCCACAATCCAGCGTCTTCATTGAATCAATCCGCGTTCTGCGGAAGACGCACAGGATCGGCAGTCTGGTCCAAAATCAAACAATTCTTGGCAAGCACACCCAGTCGTAGACATTCACCGTCGCAAAAGGCGCAACCTTTTATTGCACGTGCCAGTCCCGTTTGGTGAGGAACAGTCGCTCGGCTTTCGTCATTGTGACCCAGCTTGTTTCGATCATGCAAGCATTCGGATCATTCTGCATTGGGGAAATCCCAGTGACGACATTCTCAGCCTCTGCGAGCACTAGCACGCGGGCCAGCAACAGAATGGAGAGCATTGGGGCACTGTCCTCATCCCATTCGCAGCGGTACACCGCTTCCGCCAGTCCAACCTGGGCATTGAAGAGGCGATCGGCAAGATCATTCGCCTCCAGTGCCACGCGCTCGCGGTCACTCGTCACATAGCGGTCCAGTTGATTCCAGACACTTGGGATCTCAGGGCCACAGTCCATTCTGGTGATTGTGGCGGCAATCTCGCGACTCACGGGCCCATTTCTGCTGAGCCTGTGCTGCACCATGGACTCATTCATCAGGTGGCGGGCTTCCCAAGGAGCTCCATTCTCCACCAGTGCAGGCGCAGAGGAAGATCATCCGGCAAAGTCGGTGGTGCTTTCGCCGTGGCATTCTCAGTGATGCCATATAGGCGGCATCAATCTGATCAGGGCCGCTTTTCATTCTCATTTCCAGCAGGCTGCCGCTCAACATTCGCAGTCGGGCGAACAAGCGGTTCGCCCATTGCCAGTCGATGCAAATCCTGCATTTCTTAAGGGATATGCCCCACTAGATGCATTGCGACCAGTGTGGTCTGCACACCTTCGGTCCGGATTTCTTCCGCAGTCCGGCCACTCAGTGGTGCCGAATCAACAGCAAGCTCATCCCCAGTGATCACCACAATCACATTCTGTCGCATCACGCCAATCGTCTTGGGCCTGTCCTCAGCCTCATCTTCAAGATCAAAAAAATGTATTTCCGAAGCACTTGAGACCTATATGGCGCTTTTGGAGTGCGTTCACACGTTGCATACGGGATCTTGGGTGGATCAGTTCAGGCGGGCTAGAATCAACCATGACATCAACTGGTACGTACAGAGGTTCACAAGTTCTTGGTATAGTATAGCTCGTTCATGGACACGGATGAGATGGAACGAGACACGCTGACCAACCCCGTGTAGTGCGGACATAGAGGCAGCTTTTTGCTCAGTTAAATGGCCGCAACTACAAGATTCGCTCTCACGAGTTCCATCTCAAGTGGCGGGAACGTTCTATGCACAACCATGTGAGACGAGGCGTGCCTCAGGACGTCGAGATACGGTACAACTCGTTTATGTATGCTTTCCACACGTGCAGTTTGGCTATCACCGGTGCGAACACAAACAAAGGCTATAGGAACACCACATGGGCAGTCGCCTATTTGCATATCAGGGCATCGTACGACCCCGCCCCGACCAGGCCTGTGCCGTGGTCCGTGTTGTGGGCAGCATTCTCGAGAGATTCGAGAAGCAAGGCTTCCAGGCCGATCTTTCAACAGAGCTGTGTTTTAAGGGCATTTCGTTTCGGGGTTCGCGGCAGTGTATTAGAGTTCAGGTTGGTGTACAGGGTTTTCAATTAGAGTCTTGTCCGGAGTTTCATTTAGGGTGTCATGGCGGGCCGCACAACCTCGGGACTGGCAATTACAGGCAAGGAAATTTGATAGAGCTGGGATGAGTTGAGATATTTGCGAAATCCATGGATTTGTCCTTTGAAGTTTCGACTTTGTTCACATGCAGTTGTGCCCTTCAGCAGCTCACTTTGCAGGTTGAAACCCTGGACGCCAAACCCTGAACCAAATCGGGGACGCGTCCAGGGTCGCTCTAGATCTTCCATCTTCTTGAAGTTCGGGACCATGTGATGCCAGTCATCAGCGCCCAAAATCAGCCCAAGACATCCGGAGAGTTGTGGGTTTTAAGTTTAAGCACCAGCAAAAGAGCCCGTGGTGGGCCTCTGTGGACTCCATTCGCTTGCCGTTGCGAGGTCCTCTTTATCGGTCACTCGCTGGGTGCAGGCAGCAGCGGGAAGCTGGTTGTGAAGATTGCACCCTTCTCGTGATGACGATGTTCCGACGGTTAGAGAACCCGAGAGCCACCATGCATCCTGGATGCCGTGTTGCTGTTGGCAATGGCACGTGTATTAATATGTTCGCTGGCAACGTCTACTCGCCGTGATGCCTGATTAGAGTTACAGTGGTCGGGATTACTAATGAAGTGCACAATGTTTGTCGATTGAGGCGGCGCTGTCTTGAGTTTGTTTTGGTAATGTGTCGGGCAGGGTGAGGTAGCGACAGCATAGAAGCGGCTTTGAGAGGGATGGACGAGAGCCAAGCGCAGCGCGATTTCATCATCACTGTTTCGTTTGAGGATCTGGATCGAGGCATATCGATGCTAGTGAAGGCTAGGACTAGGATTATCTAAGACTTGACCGTCTTGTCAGGTGCATTCGCCATCTGTTGCTCAGGAACCTCGATTTCGAGGGTTTTGCGCTAGGAGTTTGCGTAGCAGCCTGTCGTGGCTTCTGGAAACTCATGTGCAACTTACATTACCCAAAGTCTTTTTCAATGAACCAGCTAGCTGGTGTCCAGCACGAACATTCCAGATATGTCGGGATTCGGTACAGCTATCGCCGAGCGGCCGAGCGGTTCAGAGTTCAATGTCCTTCTCCGAAGGTGTCTCCGCGATCGCTGGAGCAGTATGCCGACTGGGCATTGAGGGGCCGAAGCTGACCAAGGCAGCTTGGGGTCTTGGGTTTGGGCTGATGGCTGATGGCCTTAGTGCCCCCAGGGTTTAGGGACGTCAAGCATTCCGCATCATGGGCTAAGGACGCCTACTTCAAGTTTAGATTTACTTCTTCTTGCTACAGCTTTCATGTCATTCCTTGGCGGTCAGGGTTGAGGTTCGCGATCCGGACTCACGGTACAGGCACCGTACAGATTGTAGATCTTTGTCTCTGTGTGTGTGTTTGCGGTGTGAGTGTGTGAGAGAGAGAGAGAGAGAGAGAGAGAGAGAGAGAGAGAGAGAGAGAGAGAGAGAGAGAGAGAGAGAGAATCTTCGAGTTCTCTTAGTCCTGCTGATGGCGAACAGATGTTACCAGGAATCCTAGCAAAGGACTCATATAGGATTATGTGGTGAAGAGGTTGGCTGGTTTGCGCCGGTCCTTGCATGGGAGTCGAGAACTTGATCCTGATACCCGCGCCATCGAGGCACCTCCTTTGTCACGAAAAGCTCCGAAGCCCCGCAAGCTTGAAATTCGCTTCTTCAGACCCCAGTCTCACGGAGTCGCATGAGCGTCAGGTACGAAGTCTTTGCTATGCCACCCCGGCAGTCGGCAACGGCGCCTCGGCATACCAAAGAGCTTGTTTCTTAAAGCCCAGAGCTTGTCGGCGCTTGGGGTGCTCACTTTGACTGCGTGCATGCTGTTGTTTGCCGGCGCAAGAAAACTTGAAAACTTGAGGTATGAGGAAAACCATTGCTTATCGGCTGTGCTTCTTGGTTGGGGAGTCTACGGTCTGTAGGCACTCAGGAATAACATGTTTAGCGGTTTAGCGGTTCCCAAAGCACATGACACAGTGCTCTCCAGGCGAAACTCGTGCCGGTACAGTGGCATCGCACGTAATTCTGTTGTTTTGAAAGCTTCTCCAGACGACTCTGAAGGTTGCTGGCTCGCTTGTTTTGTCTTCGCAACCTGGGAACTTGATGGATACCCTCGTCAATGTCAGTCTTGGTCGCTCCACCCTGGACTAAAAACCTAAATCCAAATTAGCATCCGTCGAACTGGCTGTGTCCAAGCCCCGTCTCTAGAACTCGCCTGCGCAGCCTCAGGTTTGAGACCTGAATTTTCAGGCTTGCCAGACACAGGGGTCAGCCCAACCAGTGCAAAATTCAAGATCCCATCTCTGAGGTGGTGTTTGAAGAAGTGGTAGAAAAGTTACCACGCACCAGCTGCCGCAGCAACTGTGTTAGTATTTGTTAGAAAGTAAGAGTACCGACGCTCTGCAGTGCCATGTAGTGGTTGTACCACGACCAAAGCAGGCTGTCGGATCCCCAAACCCCCAAGATCTGTGTGGCTGAGGTTCCTTTGGTAAGTTCTGCGAGGGACATGCAACGACAGTCATCAACTGCGAGGATGTCGCCGCGAGCCCAGCTCCTGCGTGTAGATTGGCCTGGTATGTTTGCACATTCCTACACGTGTGGATGTAATTATGTACATGCATGTGCACGTACAGTATGTATGTATGTATGTTAATGAAACATCATCAATTCTCACCAGGCAGAGAAAGCCCGTATAGCGTTAGGAACCCACACGCCTTGAACCACGAGAGCTTCACCTGCCTGTCTTCTCGATTTCCAATTTATGTCGTGGTGGGCGTTTGTTGAGCCTTCAGTCTCGTATCCCACACCTCAATCAAGCTGTGCATCTTTGTTGAGGTGCCACGTCTCAGCCTGGAAACTGCAAGGAAGCTCCGCGATGAGTTGCTCTCGCGGAAGGAGGCTGTTTGGGTTTAGGGCTTCAAAGGTTGCAGGTGGGGAATGGAAATGGTCGGTCACCCTCCCCGTTGAGGGCTCGCTGGGTGTTCAAGATTGTTCAAAGAGCAGTATCCTCAAGAAGGTCTCATCCTAGACTCGAAGGCACCAAGACTGTATAGACCCTGGTCTGTACAAAAGAAATAGAATTTGAGTTCTAAGCCCGGCACATGCAATTGAGAACCTTTGAGATGGTCCGGTGCGCTGTTGCCGTGCTCTGCTACGAGAAGTCTTCAGCAGTCGTAGAAGTCGTGAAGTGCGAGCCATGCTTTTGTCACAAGCTGTAGTTCCAAAAGGCCCAAACCCTGAGTGCAAAGGCACCTTAACTTATCCAGCCACCTCAGCTCCGTCTCTGTACCAGGCGTACCGAAGATTTGTCATGGAGGCGCTTGCCGGAGGGGTTCTGTGTTTAGTTTGGTGAGCGGAGGAATTCGTGTGGGAGTTCGCAGTCTGCCCAACAGCCCTCACTCGCGGCACCTAGCACACTATGTTGCTCAAAGATCTTAGAAGCTCATGCCTAAGTCGACAAGCAAATCCTAACGAAACCGGTGCCACGGAACCGGATTGGGAGTGTCTCGACAGCTTCTTGTGCTTGGGATAGAGTCGTGGCTTGTTGCGGCCATTTGCCGGTGCCCAAGCTGTGGCACACAGGCGGCTCTAATCAAGCGATGCTGGTTCAACTCTGTCGTCTATGACATTGCTGTGGGCTGCCGCTTGTGTGAAGGACATTGATGCCTTGAAAGACCTGAACAACCTCACCGAGAAAAAGACGCCTGCGACTCTGCAATTGGGAATGTCTGAGCTTGCATGAGACGAAGACCGGTTCAACAGCTGTCATATCCTTCTACAGCCTTAGGATGACCACCACATCCCCGCGCGGCCTTCCCCCGAACCTTCGGTCTTAAACAGCTAGCCGGATTTACACACACACACACAGACAGGTGTACATATGTATGTGTGTATATA